ATATATAACTGCATTAATCTGAGATATAATGATGTCAGCAGGTGTGAAGTGGACAGGTAACACATCCATCACAGGGTCACATAAGGTCAACAACCAGACAAATGAGGAGTAAGCTTTTCACACCAGTAACATCAGTGCAATTTGTATCACATCACATTAAATTGTGTCACATAATAGCTTGGCCACAGCTCCATTACTTGTGTCATTAAGCTGGAGATGTGATATTTATGTGATGCTTAAAGTTGCAGCAATCATGCTGTTAAATTTCTGAAAATAAACGAGTGGCATCCTAGTGTTGTATCAGTTCATTCATGTTATTTTCTCACAGCAACATGTCGCTGTACGACACAGATACACAGGGGTGTTTGAATTTAGCTCATGTTGTACGTTCAGGGCTGGCTTTTCTGGCAGTTTTAAATCTAAAGGATTTCTTTGTTAGATTTTAAATACTTTGTTTTTCTGTGAAGTGGTGTGCTGAATGTAATTTATCATTATCAATAAACACTGAATTATGAACTCTAGTATGGGGTTAGACCCTCGTTTGCATTCAGAACTGGCCGGATTTTTCATGGCATCAATTCAACAAGGTTTTGGAAATGTTCCTCAAAGATTTTGGTCCATATTGATTTGACAGAATCACACAGTTGCTGCAGATTTTTCAGCTGGTCTGAGCTAACAGGACTGACAACTTGTGTGGGCTTCAGGTTGGAAGTGTTTCTACCGTAAAGGATATGTCATCTCTAACCTGTCTGCTTGTTCTGCTCTGACATCAACTAACCACCACTAACTGCATCTTTTCTCTTGTTTGAACCATTTTCAGTTGTGTGTACAAGTTCCAGCAGATCAGCAGTTTCTGAAATACAACATCAGTATGGCACCAACAACTATGCCACATTCAAAATAACTTAAATCATCTTTCTTTGCATTTTTGATGCCCGTTTTGAACTTTAGCAAGTCATTTTCACCACGTTTTCATACCTAAGGCTGCCATTGTCTTTGGCTGACAAGATATTTGTGTTAACAAGTAACTGAACAGGTAAACCTAATAAAGTGGCAGGTGAGTGCAGATGGCAGACATTTAATGAGAAAAATACCAGCAGGGTCTTAAGACTTTAACCAACTGAAGCAGCAGAACTGACTTCATTACATTTCCTGGTTTTCAGGGCTCATTTATTCACTTGGTTCATGTTCAGACACTAAAGCAGTCACATTCATTGGTCACACTCTCACTGAATTCAAACAAAATTCAACGAGATTATTACTGAGCAAATAATCCAGTCATGCACTGTGTTTATGTTTGAACATGAACTGTCAGTCACTTGATGAGACGCGGTGTGATTACAAACACACAGGATGGACCCTGAGGGTTTAGTCCAGGTCAAAAATAAGAGCCAAACTGGAAAATGTGGTGGCAGCAACATTATAACTTTACTGGTTGTAATAAGACAGTATTCTAAGAGCGATATCAGTTATCTGTTTTAGTCACAGGATCACACCAATTTTAATACAGTCAAGAGCAATAAAGTGGAATCATCTGATGATTCCTACCAACAAAATAAAAACAATGTGGAAAAAAGTCAGATATTAAAGTTAACATTGTTTATGAAGTGTTCTGAATCAACCAAGGAACAATTTTCTGCATGTCATTAGGGGTGTAAGAAAATATTGATACACTGAAATATCACGATATTTCATTTCCCGATACTGTATCGATATTCTAAAGCCCTGTATCGATTTTTTTATTAAGGTTTAAAATGTCAATTTTCCTGCCAGCCGTTCATTTTTATGTTGTAGTTCAGCCTC